TCTATCACCACTCTTTGTATCGGAAGCTTCAATGTACATATAAAAACCTAAAATAGAATTAATTTAGTTAGACAAAATAGTAATAATCTCATAAAACATTGAAAAACAAGATGACACACAAACTCTTAGTTAGGGTCTGTTCAACACTTAGATATGGTCTGTTATTAGCAGAACACTTAGTTACAGTCTGTTATTACCAGAATAAGAAAAAGGATTATTAGTTTTTTTGTTGTTGACATCATTTTGTAAATTAAAAAAAAAAAAAAAATATGCTTTATTTTTTACTCCTTCATATGTCAAAACTCTGATAAAAGTCAAAAAAGACTAGTAAACATTTTTGAAAAAATTTTTAAAAAGACTGGTGACCATTGATTAAGTCTCATCATTTTTTTTTTAAAAAAACTGGTGACCTTTGATTAAGTTAAGTCTAATAATTTTTTTAATAAAGACTGGTGACCATTGATTTAGTTAAGTATCTCATCATTTTTTTTAACAAAATTCTAATTTTTTTAAAATTTTTTTTTGCTTTTAGAGTTTTGCGAAAATTATAAGTTTTTACTGGATATATTTAACTATTATTTAACTTTACTTATAAAGATATAAAAATTTCTTGAATATAAACTAATAATATGAAAATTCAATTAAAACCAATAGATGTAATAGCACTGCAGCAGGCAAAGAACTAACACAGAATTGATACATAAAAAATGAATTAAAACTTCAGTGTTATCCACTCCAAGTCTTCTAGAATTTTTACTTCACAAAAGACTTTTTGAAAAATTTTATCAGCTAGAATTAAGCAATATTGTCAATCTTACCTTCTTTTGATCCTGTAGTATGATCAACATCAGGTCCAGTAAAAAAAGATGGAGTACCACCACTTCCAATAATCCAATCAAATGTATCTAGATTTGATTTTGTATTACTCCATGTACACATTCCGGCTTCAAAAGAACATTCTCCTATAAATTAATAAACATTACAAGTATTATTTTCTATTATTTTAAAAAATAAATAATATAGATGTATATATATTTATTTTTGATAAAAAATAAAAGTTTTTGATACTTTATTTGAATTTAAGCATTTTCAAAATGTTATTTATATATATACATTTAAAATGTATATATATATATATAACAAATTTTATTATACAATTGTATTTTAAATGTCTGATTAAAATTTTAAAAAGTTGTGTTTGTAGTCATGTAAATGCTGTTACAGCTTTTAAGTTACAATTTTAAAAACAAATTGCAATTTTCAAAAATCTGATCTATGACTATTGAGGCATAACTACAAAATAAACAATGAAAAAGAAAAAAAAAATGAAAAAGAAAAAATATAACAAGAACAAATAAGACAAAAATGTGTAGATTTAAATACCAGGAGGAGGACAGTATCCATCAATTATTTTTACATCATCAACTGCAATATCTCCAGCATACCCCATACCACGAACACCTTCAATTACAATTTGTCGGCCATTTTGAGGTCGAATTGGAGCATTTGCAACTTTCCATGTATCACCATGATTTCCCTCCCGTCGCCATATTAAATTGTTTCCACCATTTGGAGTCTAAAAAAAATATGATATTTTAAAACATTTTTTGCATTAAATAAACCTGTTCTTATAAAAGTGTCAATTACCTGAATATAGATATTTAGTTGACCTATATGCCATCCTCTCATATGAAACCAAAATTCTAGACAGCGTGGGTTTTTGTCAGGAATCACAGGACTTACAAGACGAGCTCTGTCACCTAACTTTCTTGTGCCAGATACCTCAGTGTATATATAATACCCTAAAATGTTATTATATTGCATCCATAAAACTTTAGAAATTTACAAGCTTTACAAAAACTAAACTATTTAATTGTAAAACTCATAAATCTTTTTTACTAGCTTTTTTTTGAAAAATTCTAACCTTGATCTGTTTGAAGCGTGTGATCAAACGATGGTCCAGTATTGTCACTAGATGTCTCCCCTTTGTTTCTAGTCCAATAAAACTCAGCTTTAGGATCAGGATTGTAACCACAAATACCGTGTTCAAAATCGCAATATGCTGAATAAATTATTTTTTTATATTAATTTTTTTTTTACTGAATCAAATTTCTCATTTTACTTGTGTATATAAAATATTTTATTACATAAAAATGTTTGTGTTTTACACACCACCAAACCACAATAAAACCTGGTTTTATTGTGGTTTTAATACTAGGAGAAAATTTTTATTACCTGTAGGAGGACAAGAACCGTCAATCAAATCAATATCATCAATTGAAATATCTCCTTTAAAATCTCCACCTCTGACAGCTTCAACCACAACCTTAAATATGTAACATTTTATCATTAATAAATAATCTTTTTTAATTATTATCTCTTTTTAATTTAAATACTCTCTTATCAAGCTCAAACATTATCTTATCATATATAATCATTATTTTATTAAACTCAAATATTTTTGTATCGCACTCTCATCATATTTAAACATTATCTTATCGTTCTCAAACATTCTATTATCAAACTTAAATTCACAAATAATCACAATCAATCCATAAACTTTTAAACATAAGATTTTAAACAATATTTTTTGTACACATTTAAACTTGTACATTTTAACTCAAATACATTTTTAGGAAAAAATAAATTATATAAATTATTAATTACTTGATAATCTAACTGAGAAAACAAATCAACTTGTCCCAATCTCCAAACATTTCCATTGTCCCCAACTCGTATCCAAAGCTTTAACATAGAATTTCCAGATTTTCTATAAACGTTTAGAGAACCAATATCTGGTCCATACATGTGGTACCAAAATTGAAAACAACGAGATTTTACTTTGTCACCTCGTACAAGTGGACTTAGTATTCTGGCAATATCACCTTTTACTCTAGGATAAGATGCCTCAATGTATAAGTAGGTACCAGTCTCTAAAACAATCATAAAATAATTTATTATTTATGATACTTAAACAGTAAAAGTAAAAAAGATGTTTATTTAATTTACTATTTCCATAAGTGTGATCCACATTAGGTCCAGATCCATCTGAAGAAGTTGTTCCGCTATTCAATGTCCAATTGAATTTATCTGTTAGGTCCTGAGACCATTGGCACAGCGTTTTTGTTTCAAAGTTACATCCATACACAGTTAACACTTTTAAAAAATAATAAATTTTTTATAAAAAAAAAAATAAAAGCAATTGTTATATATAATTATATTACTTTTGTATTATATATATACATATATATACCTATATATATATATATATATATATATATATATATATATATATATATTATATATATATATATATATATATATATATATATATATATATATATATATATATATATATATATATATATATATATATATATATATATATATATCAATTTATATAATTGTTAAAAAATTAAAATTTTTGCATTTGATTATTATTAATGAATAATAATATATACTTGGAGTAGTAGATGGCGAGGGTGGTATTGATGTAGTAACTGCAAATGGATCTGCATCTTTTGGTACAACAAAACAAGCTCCCATAGAGTAAACAATATCATCTAGTGCAATATCACCATTATAGGAACCTCCATGCACTGCTTCAAATACCAACTAAACAAAAAAAAAATTTAATCTAGTTTTCTGTTTTCAATTGTCTTATGTTTTTGCTGTTCACTGGATTTTTTGAACACTCATTTAAAGCTCACATGTTTTAACTATATTTTTGCTGATCATTTTTAGTTTGTTTTATTTTCAACCCTACTGTTTATATATATATATATATATATATATATATATATATATATATATATATATATATATATATATATATATATATATATATATATATATATATATATATATATATATATATATATATATATATATATATACATATATATACTAGAGTTAATAACATTATTAGTTATTAACTCTAGTATATATATGTATATATATATTATCAGTTGCGCATTTGCACTTCCTTTTTTCTATTTAAGAAATTTTTCTATTATTAAAACATCAGTTAATCTTAATGGAGGCAAATAAAATGTTTAAAAAGTATGTTTTGTATATTTAAAAGTTTCTTTTTGTTGAAGAATTTTTGAAAAAATTCTTCTGTACACAGAAACATTGTATATCAACAATTTTTATATACATGTTTCATTGTATATAAAAAATCTTAGCATTCAGGAACACAAAACAATGCTATAACATTAAAAAATACAAAAATAATTCTTAGAATTCAAAAAAAATTACTTAAAACATTGCAAATAATATTTTAAATGATACATTTTGAAATTTGATTTTAATATGTTTTTATATTCACCCAGTCACCATTCACAAATCTGTATGTATAGATTTTTTTATTATAAACAGATTATATAGTGATAAAAATAACAACAGAATTAGAAAAAAATATATATAATATTCATAATTTAAATTCCTTTTTTACATGCAAAACAAAATATTTGATTTTTTTAAAAATTTAAAAAGTGTAATATCTTATAAAAACTAAAAATATTAAGTAAAATTTATAAAAAAAAAAACTTACATAAAAATCTTTCTGGCTAAGTACTGGGGCTGTGCCTTCTAACCAATTATTGCCTTGATTACCAGACAATGACCAAACTACTTTTTCATTCATTTTTCCTATACCAGTCTTAATATAAACATTTAATGTTCCAATATCTGCTCCATTCATATGATACCAAAAACGTAAGCAATAAGCAGATACTGACTGAGCATTAAGCTGTTCAGATACTAAACGAGCTGTATCACCAGATTTTTGTGGAGAAGATGTCTCAATGAATATATACTTACCTAAAAAAATATATATATTAACTAAATAAAAACAAAACATTGTTTTTATTGTACATATGTATATATGATATGCTTATATTTTTTATATATATTATCATTTTAAGCATAAAACTTTTTTTTTTAATAGATTAAAAAACTAACCTTCTCCATTTTGTTTTGAATGATCAGCGGAAGGACCTGTTAACAAGCTTGGTGTGCTGCCTTGTCCAATAACCCAATCAAAAGTGTCTTCAGTCGGTACATTTTTCCAAGTGCATTTTTCGTTTTCAAAATCGCAGGTAGCTAAAAAAATTTGAAAAAAAAGAAAAAAGTTAAATTGCAACTAAAAATGAAATTAAAAAAATTTATGGCAAAAAAACAATAAACTTATTTAAAAAAACTTTTTTTAATTACTATTATAAATAATAAAGTAGTATTTAACATAGTATTAAAAAAAAAAAGAAATACCTGGACTATTGCATGCTCCATCATGCATAATCAAGTCATCGATTGCAATATCACCAGTATAACTAAGTCCTCTTGTTGCTTCAAATATAAGCTTAAAGAAATTAAGTTATTTTTCAATAATGCATAGTAAAAATTGTTTTACCATGCAAATACTATTGTAGATGTGGATACTATTATACTGCAGATGTGGATACTACTAATTAAGCAGATCTGGATACTACTAATACTACAGATGTGAGTACTACTAATTAAGCATATCTGGATACTACTAATACTACAGATGTGAGTTTTACTAATATAGCAAATGCGGATACTACTAAAACTGCAGATTTTGGGTTGGCACTATACTAATATACTTTACTCAAACTAGTTTTTAAAACACTAATAAATAAATTAAAACATTAATTGAAATACATATTTTGAAATTTAAAACAATAATTTAAAGCGTTAAAACAATAATAAAAATTTAACACAGACATCTTTTTAGACAAAAAATATTATTTACTTAAATTTTTTAGGATTATGCTGTTATTAACTTTTTTTTTTTTAAATATAGATGAAACATTGTCAAAATGATATTTTATCTAGTGATTAAGAAATAAAACAAAAGAAAAACTAATCAAATAACAACAATAACAACTATTAAAAAAGAAGCAATAATATTCTATTGATTCTTGCATTACTTATACAAAAATATAATTTCTATTTAACCATACCTTAAAACCCCCTTGACTTAATACTGAAGCCTGCCCAATAAACCATTGATTGCCTTGATTGCCTTGTCTTGTCCACATTAAAGCACGAGCTGCATTTCCTTTCTCAAGTAGAAGACTTAACTTACCAATAGATGTTCCATACATGTGATACCAAAATTGAAAACATTGGCCGCCAATTTTAGAGTTTCCAGCATACAATGGAGAAATAAGACGAGCAATAGATCCAGCACTTACCAATATTGAAGTTTCGATATACAAATATTTACCTGTAAAACCATTTTTTTAAAAATATTAACACTTAACATAAATATATTAAAACAAATATATGTTGAACATTTTTAAACAAAACTTTTTTAACTTAAAAAAATATAAAATAAAACTCTAATAAATACTTAAGCCACTCATTTAAAAACGAATGGAAAGCTTTCATAGTTATAGGTTTGAAAATTAAAAAAAAATTAAAATGCTTCCATAATTGTACCCCTTATCCTTGGGAAGGTGAATGTATCAAGAAAAAATTAATACCATTATCATCATTATATGTGTGATCATTTTCAGGACCAGTATTCGAAGATGAAGTACTTCCTTGTCCTATTGACCAGTCAAATATATCATTATTATCATTTATCCATCCACACATAGGAGGGTCTGTCTCTTCAAAAGTGCATTCCACTGAAAAAAAATATATATATATCATTCATTAAAGTAAATTTAAAAACTTCAAACAATTGCAAAAGTTATTTGTACATCCCCAACTGGTATGCATGTTCAAATATTGCTTAAATTTTTTTTGTGTTCAAATCTATTTATTTTACTTTTTTCCTCCAAATATTTTTCTGAATATGTTTTTTTGCAAAAACATATTTAGAAATAGTTTATTTAAATAAACTAATATTTTTAGATTATTAACATTTAAACTACTATACTTAATTATAAAAATTAATGATGTCATTACTTTTTGATAATTGTTATTATATATATTATACAACAAATATTACTTTATAATCAATCTTTCTTAAACTAATTAGATATATATTAATGTTAGTTGAATATTTAATTGACATAAACAATTCTTATAAAAAATTTTTATCTTAAAATAGTAAAACTGTGAAACACCTAACATTAATTTGCATATTACTCTTTGAATGTTTATATATTACATTGATTACAAAACAAGCATGCACAATTTGAAGAGCACAATACTGAATAATATTTTAAATAGTAATTTATAGGTTATGCTTTAAAAAAAAAAAATTTTTTGATTTGAATAAATTTTGATATGACTCATCTGCTAGTGTATGTGCTAGATCCAAATACATTGTTCCTACATTACAGGGTCTATTGAAAATTCAAAATTTGTGTTTCGAAGTTTTAGAGATAGAAAAAAGTAAATTTAAAAAAAGTTTTTTAATTAATAAAAAATTAGAAGCCTCCTCCATAGTATTGGTCAATACTTTTGAAAAAGTAAGTAAAAAAATATATATTGAATATGACAAATAACAAAAATCTGATTATCAATATTTATTAGATTACTACAAACTCTATAACTAATTTATTGATTTTCAAAAATATATTTATGGATTATTTCTGAAAGTTCTAACCTGGAGCTGGACATGTGCTGCTTACAGTTACATCATCTATTGCAATGTCTCCTGAATAACCCTTTCCTCTAATTGCTTCAAATACATACTAAACAAAGTTTTCATTCATACCAAATTAAATAAACTTAGAAAAAAACTATTCCTTAAAATGCGCATTTAATTTTCATTCCTTAAAATGTGCATTGAATAATAAAATAGCAGTTGTTTAAAGTTTACTACGAAAGAACTTAAAAATGCAAAACCTGATAAGGAACAGTAGAGTTTAAAAACACGTGTGCAGCTCTCCATTGGTTTCCATGTGAACCATATTTCGACCAAACTAGATTCATTTTATTTGTTGTTTTTGTATAAACATTAAGTCTGTTTACATGTAAGCCATACATATGATACCAAAAGTTTAAACATTGACTCGAAGATATAATTGGAGAAACCAAACGAGCAGTATCGTTTTCTTTACGTGGAGATGAAGCTTCGATGTAAGCGTAAAATCCCAATGCTGCCAAATAAGCAATCAATTTAATTAAAATGATTAACTTTAAGCATATTCATGAATAAATAAATAAGAAACTTACTTGGTGAAAAACTGAATCTTTTTGAATCATCATTACACGCTTTGTATGCAACTAGTTTTAAATTATTCCCAGGATTTAAAGTATTTCCTAGAGGTGAAATACACATGCCTGTTGACTGATGCTGAATTTGGCCAGAGCCTGTTATAGTCCACTTGGTTGTGCAAGTATCACTAATAGTCACCTTAAAACCAAATTTATTTAAATATAGAATATATTCTTTTTTTTAATTATAACTTTAACTTTTAAAAAAATGTTTTTACCTCTGTTTCAGAAGCTGTCGAATCACCCCTTAATCTCACACACATGTTATACATTGTCAGTTTTAACAACCCATCACTTGTTAGTTGAAATTCTAAACGATTTTGTCCACATCCTTCATAAAGTACCAATGTTGTATCATCTTTTGGTTTGATATGAGCACCATTAAGTACATGAATACACTTAGCACTTATGTGACGAATTGAGCCAGGACCATATAATGTTACAGCACCTGTATATATATACACCACAATATTTAGATACACCATAATATTTAGATACATACATATTTAGACAATAGAAAATTTCAATTCAATCAGTATCTTGATATTCACACATATATTTAAAGATACATATACATACTAATAACTAATAATATCAATTATCAATTAATATTTTTCCGCGTACATGTAAGTACACAACCAAATATAGTTCATATTACTTTTAAATATTCCATCAATGATAAAACTTTGTCAGGTTTAAAGACTTACCGTTACCAAAAGTATGATCAGTTGAAGGTCCACTATCAGAAGTATCAGTAAACCCTTGGTTTCTTGTCCAGTTAAATGTGTCAGTAGAATCTTGGATAAGTGAGCAAAAATCTTTCTCAAAATCACAACTTAATGCTGTTGGAGCTAAAACAAAAAAACAAAAAAAACTAAAAGATACAAATATATAACTTATACAAATATAATTTATGTAAAAAAATATAAAGAATTGTACTCAGTATTAATGCATATATAATGATGTAAATATTCAATAACCATTAATAATCAACAACTGCTAATTGATGATCTGTTAGCAGTTGTTGATTATCTCATTATAAAGAATAAAAATTTTTCAAGTTTAAATCTTAAAAATGGTATTTTAATCAAATGTAGCGTCAAATTTTTCTAAAACAATTTTTTTGCTACTTTATATAATAAAACAATAAAATTGTGCTTCTATTGGTTATATTACATAACTCTTAACAAAAATGTTAACAAATAAAATACAATTTAAAATCCCTATCTAAATAAAATACCTAATGTAGGGGGTCTTGTTTGTGGCAATGTTGTTGGAGGTACTTGAGTTGGTTTTCCATTTGGATTAGCTTCTGGTGGTTGAAGAACACAAGCAAGTGATGTAAACTGAATGTCATCAAGTGCAATATCACCGAGCCATCCATCACCAGCAATGCCTTTAAACATTATCTGAAACAAAACAAAACAAAAACCAATCGTTTTAACTTTATTTTTCTACAAGTAAACTTTTAGAAAAAATATTTTCTATTAAAACAGGTTTAACAGGTTTACAAGTATTCTGCTGGTATTTTTACTGCTATAATTAAAACATCATCATAAAACATGACATCACCATATTTTTGTTGTCATACTTTTTGAAACCAACTAAAAATGAAAATATTATTTTTTAAACATAAAAACTCTCTTAATAAACCAAATTTTTTTTGTTTTTCTATTCCATTTGATTTTTAAATGAAAAAGCCTTTTTCTTTTGAATTTAAATTTTGTTTTGCTTCTTTCTTTTATATAATATATTAACTAATGATATCATTTCCAAATCTCATTTTTATTTAAATCTTTTTTGGTCGCCATCATGTTTGTTTTATAAAAGAAATGATTAATATCCTTTACTATTACGAAAAAAATTATTAACTTATTAAAAAAATTATTATCACAAAACATCAATTTCTACTGATATACAAGCTCATGATTATTTTAACATTCGAGTTGAGACATTGAGACATTGAGAGTTATATGAGAGATGCAGTTACTCTTCAGGTATAGATTCATTTATACATTCATACATGTATATATTAAATTCATAAATGCATACATTACATCCATACGTGCATACATTCAGGTCAACATTTTTAGTTAAATCCAGTTTTTTCATATTCAATTAAAACCAAACTCAAAATCAACAAAAATTATAATTTATTGCATTTCTTCTGCATAAGTGAAAAAACCATGCTGCATCAGTTGACTTTACCAAAAAGGAAAACTAAAACTGTCAAATTAAACAAATTTAATTTCACATTTTACTTTGTGATTCCATGTCTAATGATATAACTGTTCATGGCATTATTGCACATACTGCATTTCATACTGTTATTGCTTTTTGTTTAAATACTAAATTTTTTTCTACTATTTATCTTTGATGAAATATATATATATATTTTTTGGCTAACTTAGTTAACATTTTTTAATACTGTTTACATTTTCTTGGTTACTAACTGTGCAAGATTTGTTTATAAAAATGATTGCAGTCTTTCCAAAAACTTCTGTTTAAACCTTTTTTTTATTCAATTAAAAGTTTATAAAAAAAATCAGGAATCTATTACTTACAACATGATTTGTATCTGCGCTTATTGGAACACGAGCAAACTTCCATTGATCAACATCTGATAACTGTTGTTGTCCAGTCAAATTCCAAACCAATTGTTCACTTTGAGAGCCAGAAAAAACTTTATATACTACCTGTAATGAGCCTATATCAGCACCATACATATGATACCAAAAAGTAAGACAACGTGAGCCTGAAATAGGATTAAACTGTTCACTTTCAAGAATTGCTACATCACCTTTCTTCGTTGGAGATGATGTTTCCAAAAAGATGTATGATCCTAAAAAAATGTAAATTAAATACATTAAGTACATTAAACATATAAAACAGCTTATGTACAAAAACTACATAAAAAATACTTTCAAGAGGTTCCACTAAAAAGATTTTATTTTGAAATTTTAATTAAGATAATAAAAAAATAAAATAATCATGTTATGAACAATATTTAATAATTCTTAATAATTTTTTAATACTCACCACTGCTATTTCCAACGGTGTGATCAAATTTTGGTCCAGTGAACAAAGATGGGGTTCCTGCTGAACCACGAATCCAATCAAAATTATCAAATTTAGAGTTAGTATATGTGCATGTATCAACCTCAAAATCACAATAACCTGTGTGAACAAAAATTGTTAAAAAGAAATTATTAACTGGCTCAATCAATTCATTTTTATCAAAAATTTAGTTTTAAGATAAATGTTATAAAAATATTATAAATTATAAACAATAGTTTATACAACTCATAAAATAAAAGGTTGCTTTGGTAGGCTAACCTGGAGACTGACAAGGTCCTTCAGATAGTTTAATATCATCAATTGCCATGTAACTATCAACTCCACCAAGACTTCCCTCAAACACAATCTAAAACATATTCATTTAAAAGTTATATGCAAAACAATGTAGATGACATATACTTGTGTGCATAGAGGCACAATTACATAACATTTTATTGTATATGCATATGACATATAACTGTTTAATTATTTCTATCACATTTATTGAACCAAAAAAAATTGTAAAAAGGTAGGATTGCGCAAATACTTGATTATTTGAAAAATCAGGGGTTTGGCAAATGACAAACTTATACAATAATTAAAAAATTATTAATTTTAACTTTATTTGATAATTTAATTTGGATTCCAAGCACAAAATAAAGTATAATGATAAAATATTTTCAAAAACTTCCTTTTGAAAAATATTTTCAAAAGGTGCCTAAATCCTTGATAATATTACAGGTTTTTTAAAAAAGTTCTTAAGTAAGAAATATTAGAAATAAAAATTTAAAATTATAGATTTTAAAAATATATATTTTTAATAATAATAGTAAAACTTATTTTAAAGAAAAAAATTATAATGACAAGCTGTTAAAAATGTTCTTTTACATCTTTTTTTTTTTAAAAAAATCCTTTGTAAACTTTTTAAAAAATTAACTTTTTTTTTATTTTGTGTACTTTATTTTGTTTGTGTTTTATTTTTATTATATTTTGGCACCTTTTGAAAATATTTTTGTGTTTATTTTTATTATATTTTGTGTTTTATTTTTATTATATTTTGTGTTTTATTTTTATTATATTTTGTGTTTTATTTTTATTATATTTTGTATTTTATTTTTTGTTTATTTTTGTGTTTTATTTCAATTTATGCGCTTAATTTTATTTTAACTTGTTCGCTTTGTTTTATTTTGTGTGCTCTATTTAATTTTGTGTTTTTTTTTTTAATTTTATAAGCCTTATGATGCATGTTTTGATAATTAACCTCGTATGTATCAGTAGCAGATAAAGTGATTCTTGAAATTCTCCAAACATCTCCTTTGTTACCAGATTCTGACCAAATCGGACGGTTTTGAACTTGATCATTAATACTTAAATAAATTGATAAAGAACCCATTGTTTTTCCATTCATGTGATACCAAAATGAAAGGCATTTTCCAGTTGTTATAGGCTCTATAGGACTAAATAATCGTGCTATGTCTCCTTGCTTGCCTTTAGAGGAGTCAACAAACATATAGAAACCATTATATGATTGTAGTGTGTGATCAATTGAAGGACCATCTATAAAATTGAAAAACTTTTTATAGTTGAATTAAAACTATTTTGTGAAAAACAAATTATAAAAAATATTTATATTGTAGAACAAAATTATTGTTTGAATAATTTTAACTTACTGTTTGAAGAGGTTGCTTGTGACTGGCGTTTCCAAACCAATTGAGATGTTGAAGACTGGTCATCCCGATAGCCACATTGGTCATTTTCAAATGTACAGGTTGTTGTTGAAAGTAAACACTTACTTGTGGTAAGAGATATATCATCAATGGCAATATCCCCTAAATAACTTTTGCCAACTGTCGCTTCAATAACTGCCTATATTATAACAACAATGTACATATATTGCTATTTTTCTTTTTCAAAATTATTCTTTGAAATAAAATAAATATATTACAATAAAACTCTCAAACCTGAAATGGTTGTCGACCAACCAAATTTACTTGACCTTTGAGCCATCGATTACCCTGTGTTCCAGTTCGTGACCAGAGTGGTTTACCAACATGACCACCCAACAATACATAAATATTTAAAGTATTAACATGAGGACCATACATATGATACCAAAACTCTAGACATTTTGCACCAGTATCTCCTGTAGCTGGAATACTGGTACTAATTAAACGAGCAACATCATTTTCTTTTTGTGCGCTTACCTCAAGGTATGCATACTTACCAAACTCTACATCAAAAATATAAACATTTCAAGTACAAAAGTAACATCTGATGGGGTTTAAAAACTAAAACTAAAAAAAAAACTTACGATTGTTTTTAGTATGATCAAAACTTGGTCCAGTACCATCAGATGCAGTAGCTCCACTAGCGATAGTCCAATTAAGTTGATCTGTTAACACATCTTGAGACCAGCTGGAACACAATCCAAACTCAAAATCACAGTTAAATATTGGAGCTAAACAAGCAAATATAACACTAATTATATTAAACATATGTTTCCAAGCATATTTTAACAAACATATGTTATCAAACATATGCTGACAAACATATGTTATCAAAAATATATTAACAAACATATGTTATCAAACATATGTTATCAAACATATGTTAACAAACATATGCTATCAAACATATGTTAACAAAAAAATGTTAACAAACATATGTCAACAAATCAATGTTAACAAACATGTTATCAAACATATGTTAACAAAATTATGTTAACAAACATTAGGATTTTAAATTTTATTTTTTATAAGTAAATGTATAAAAATTAAAAAAAAAAAATATTTTATTAGTAACCTGCTGTAGGTGCAGTAGCAGTTGTTGAAGGTTTTACAGTAGTAGATTGAGTAATAGGATTTGCATCTGCAGGTACAACAGCACAATTACCAGAGCGAAAAGAAAAATCATCTACAGCAATATCTCCATAGACAAAGTTCCCAACAATTCCTTCAATAATGATCTTTAAAAAAATATGTGACACTTAAAATTTTTAAAAAAATGTCAATTTAACACAATATGTTCTAAATACTTCTATTAAAGCTTTGTATTGTAAAATTAATAAACATCTTTTTAATCATAAATATACCCTGTATGCTGTTGTTGCTATGCCAACATTTACTTGACCATTAAACCATGTATTTCCTTTATTTCCAGACAAAGTCCACAAAAGCTTTTCTGTACCACTAAAATTTGCATAAATATTTAAACTACCAATTGATTGCCCATACATATGGTAATAAAACAAGAAACATTGGCCAATGCTGTTACTCTGGCTAAAGAGCTGGCTAGCTAAACGAGCTTTTTCATTAGGTCTATTTGGAGATGATGATTCAATAAAAAGATACTTAGCTAAAAAGAAAAAAAACTAAAACCTAAAATAATTAAAGAAACAAATATAGTTTGAAAAATATCAATAAAATAATTATGCATAAAAATTTACTAAAATTACTCATAAAAAAATAAGTAATATAATTAAGGCAGTTAATTATAAATAAAATAAAACTAGTATATGTTAATTATAAATTATATTTATATGATGTATGAATTATATAAAACCTTTATCATTTCCATTACGATCAGCAGATGGTCCAGTAAAAGCAGTTGGGGTAGAGCCTGAGCCAACAATCCAATCAAAATCATCTGAATTTTCTGCAGCTGGAATGTTATACCAAGTGCAAAGACCATTTTCAAAGTCACAGAACCCTAAACCATAAAAACAGTAGTATATTATAGGATAATATATTTGGATTGCAATTGCAAAATATTTTAAAATCATTAAATAGCATTCAAGATAAAACAAAATAAAAATGAAAAAAAAAAAAAAGAGAATAAATAAAGATTAAAAGGTTTTTTTGATTAGAAAACTTTTAATGTTCAAAAAATTAAAAAGTTAAAAACTCTGAGTAAAAATCAGTTAAATGACCAAAAAAAATAAACAAAAAAAATGTCTAAAAAAAAAATAAACTCTAAGTACTTTTTATTATTATAAAAAAATAAACTCTAAGTACTTTTTATTATTATAAAAAAAAAAACTCTAAGTACTTTTTATTATTATAAAAAAATAAACTCTAAGTACTTTTTATTATTATAAAAAAATAAACTCTAAGTACTTTTTATTATTATAAAAAAATAAACTCTAAGTACTTTTTATTATTATAAAAAAATAAACTCTAAGTACTTTTTATTATTATAAAAAAATAAACTCTAAGTACTTTTTATTATTATAAAAAAATAAACTCTAAGTACTTTTTATTATTATAAAAAAATAAACTCTAAGTACTTTTTATTATTATAAAAAAATAAACTCTAAGTACTTTTTATTATTATAAAAAAATAAACTCTAAGTACTTTTAATTATTATAAAAAAATAAACTCTAAGTACTTTTTATTATTATAAAAAAATAAACTCTAAGTACTTTTTATTATTATAAAAAAATAAACTCTAAGTACTTTTTATTATTATAAAAAAATAAACTCTAAGTACTTTTTATTATTATAAAAAAATAAACTCTAAGTACTTTTTATTATTATAAAAAAATAAACTCTAAGTACTTTTTATTATTATAAAAAAATAAACTCTAAGTACTTTTTATTATTATAAAAAAATAAACTCTAAGTACTTTTTATTATTATAAAAAAATAAACTCTAAGTACTTTTTATTATTATAAAAAAATAAACTCTAAGTACTTTTTATTATTATAAAAAAAAAAAAATTGTATTAGCTTTATTGATTGTTATTTAATAGTTTAAAGTTTAACCTGGTTTATTACAGAGGCCCATTGATAGTTCTATATCATCAATAGCCATATCCCCTTCATAGCCATATTTTGTAATTCCTTCAAACACAACCTAGTATTAAAAAAAATCAACTATTAAGATAAAAATATTTAAAAAAAGTCATATGTAAAACTTATATTTTAAAAGCTTTTATATTTAAAATGCAAAAAAAACATTTTTTAAAAATTAATCTTTTAAAAAAAATTTGAAAATGAAAACCTGAGCAGTTGTGGTTGTAATTGGAACTTCAGCATTGACCCAAATATCACCCTTTTGACCAGTAGCATTAAAATCAGGGGTGCCTTTACCTAATGCAGGGGGGTTAATGTAAACATTTAAATCCCCCATATCTGAACCAAACATGTGATACCAAAACTTCAAACAACTTCCTTTAGGTGACAAATTAGTGAAAGTTTTATAAAACCGCCCTTTATCATTAAGCTTTTTGTTAGAAGCTTCCACGTACACAAAATAACCTAAAGGTCAAATAAAGCAATACTAACTTATAATAAAGTAATACTAATCATGTGCATGAAAAATTTCTACATATAGCTTAGTAACCAAAAAGCCTATATACAAGAACATATTGGCCATATATAAGTTTATATGTACAGAATATAAGAATGTTCATTTGATTTTTGATAAGAGTTTTTAATCACTCACACTTCACTAGCTAAAGAATTTCTTATGGCATGGGTGCTCTCCAACTTGTGATCTAAACAACACTCTCTTATAAAAGCTTTGTAAAAATTTTCTAAACTATTTAACAAGTGCTTATTTTCCACTCTACTGAAAAGCGCCATTCCTCTTTTGAAAACTCTGGAGCTATTTTTCTTTACTTTTTTTTATTAGTCTTCTTTCTACTATCAACCTTTTATTGGAAAACTTGTTGTTACTCATTTTGGGCAATTTTTCAATTCACCTGATTTTCATTGTATCATACTAGTGCTAATCTGTTAACAGTAAACCATTTTCCTGGTAGCTTTTATCATAGTGTTTATATTACATTATTAAAACATATATCAAGATCTAATCAGACATTTTAAAAGTAATGATGTCAACAAAAATATAAAGAAACATTTAAGTACACAATAAAAAGTGAAATAAAAATTAATTTAAATAGTGTAAAAATTAATTTGAATAAAAAAAATAAAATAATTAAAATAGTTAAAAGAAAAAGAAAAAACAAAAGTTAATAACAATAGCAATAACAATTGTTAAAATTCAAAAAATATTGATAATACCTGAAATTGTTCCTGTGGTATGATCTGAAGAAGGACCTGTTTTAGTACTTGGTGTAGAACCTCGCATTCTTGTCCATTTAAATTGGCCAGAAGGATCATCATTAAAACCGCACTTGTCCTTTTCAAATGTGCATAAACCTAAGTTAAAAATACACATAACTTTAATAAACTATAACTTTATTTGTTTATAAACATTTATAAACAATGTTAATTA